ATGAATGTCACAATTTAAAAGCAAAATGGTTCCCTACATATGGATGGATGGAAGACTATGCTCTATATTTATTACTAGTTGATAACTAGGTGTTGCGTTTGTATTTATTCAAAGGGGGGAAATGTCCAGACCAAACGTAATCTCTAATGTTGGATTGTCCCCCTTACCAGAGGGAGCCCCTTGTGGAGTACTGTGAAGCCATTACCATGGCAACTCCATTGCGCTGTACAGTAGAAGCCATTTTATGGCAGTACAGTAGATTTTACTGTACATTTTAAAACACAACAGACAAACAAAACACACACACTAAGAGGTATTAGGGGTGTCTTACCCCACAATATTTTTCTCCAGTGAGTACATCATCTGTGTACCAAGTTTGGATGAAATTGCTTGATGTGTTCCAAAGTTATGCTGGAACATACACACCAGGGATGGGTTCCTGTACCAGTTGGTACCAGTTTGCTGCATGCGCACCTTGTGCAGTTGCACACTAAAAATTGTTCTGCACATGCGCAGAAACATGCCAACAACGGCAGAAGAGACCGGGGAACCGGTTTGGGGGCATTGCCAGCCTGGGTCGATGAAAAGATAGAGTTGACAGCTTTGCTTACAAAATACATCTCATGAGCATGCCAAGAGATCTCTACTGGCATTAGCATTGGAACAGAGAGAGGTAGGGGTTTTTTGCTCAATACTGAACTCTGGGAGTTGGCAATCTGCAATCATTTGAGACTTTCCCCAATTTTATCTTCCCTTTCCCTTTTCCCATTTCTCTCACTGCCACTCACTTTTTTTCTTGTAGCTCCTGCTGTTCCTAAAACCACTTGAGGAAGAAATTGGGTTGGTTTGCTCAGAAATGGGATACCATATTTTTTGGAGTATAAAACGCACCCTTCCCCACCCCTAAAACTGGTTGAAAATTTAGATACGACTTATAGACCGAATATGGGCATTTTTGGCCTCCCGAAACCTCCGGATATCATGTTTTTGTCCTCCTAGGCCCCCAGAAGCACTCTGCAGTACTCCGCACAGCCCTTTTTGGGCTCCCAAGCTCTCTGCGCATCACATGTTCACCCTTCCCCCAGAAGCACTCTGCAGGCCAAAAACGGGCTTGTCTTTTGGCAAAAATGGGTTGTGCAGAATGTTTCTGGGGGCCTGGGAGGGGAAAAATATGATATGCGGAGGGCTTGGGAACGCAAAAACGAAACCATTTTCGGTGAAAACGGGCCATGCTGATAAATGGCAGCCCTCTGCTGTGGTGCACATGCGCACACTGGCCAGCTGATTTTCGGCCTTCTGGAAGGCCAGTGGAGGCCGTTTTCACCCTTCCCAGCCTTTAGGAAAACCTCTGGAGCCTGGGGAGAGCGAAAAATGGCCCAACAGCCCAACCAAAAGTTTGGGAACGAATTTCATTCACGTGCCAAAGTGGAGGACTGCTTTCGCAGCAAATATGGCTCCGTGTGCCACCTGTGGCACGTGTGCCATAGGTTTGCCATCACGGGGGTATAATTATGTCCTGCATTCTGGAGCACTTTTTTTAAAAAGTAACTGAATCTAAAGCATTGGCTATCCTTACCATACCTCAAAGCACTTGAGATAAATGACAAATTTTGCAGTTCAGCGTTCAACTTTCTCATGTACCCATGGATTATTTTCACTTTCCAGCTGTATTTGGACAGCAAAATCAAGGATGGAGAACATTCCTTCAGTCGCTACTCCTATGATTAGCCTCATCAGAAGATTTGAGCTAAAATGTCAAGCTGACATCTACTCCCCTTATTTACTCAATGCTGTTAGATCATCTCAGCAATTGCTAAATGAAAAGAAGAGTCGAGGTATAACCTTTGAATTTAACTCCAAGGAAGCATAGCCAGAATTGTCGGTTCACCCCACTTTTCCCAGTTTTTTTTCCCAGAAGAGAGTTGAAAACCAAAGTAGCCATCATTGCAGACCAATCTCTTCATCTATACATTTATTCCATTGTTAGCTTGGAAATTATTACAATTCTCAGGTACTTAACCACTGAATTTCAGCAGTGCATCTTTGGCGATTGAAAGACCCTAAAAAGAGAGGTTGATTGACCACATTTGACCTGCTGACTGCAAGTTGCCAATCACTCCATTAAGTGCCTGTTCTAGGCAGAATTTCTTGTCTCCTCTAAAGCCTTTGCTTTGCAAACAAAAAGAGTTTAGAGTTGGATCCATTGCAGTAGTGCAATCTCTGTCATTGTTGTTTTTAGATGCAAAGTCGTGTCCAACCCATCGCGATCCCATGGACGTTCTTCCAGGACTTCCTGTCCTCTACCATCCTCTGGAGTCCATTTAAGNTGAACATTGAGGAATATGCTATTTTAAATATATATTTAGAGCTTAAAATTTGGGATCTTACTCTTCAGCCCTACCAAATTTCTTGTATCTTTCAAACATCTGCAGAGACACCAATAATTAATAGAAAACTTTCCCCAAAGACATCACTCTAGCATCTCCTCGGTTGACCCATGCCCTCAAGTAAATATTTTGTCTTCTTTTTTAGTTTGAACCAGTTGATTAGTTTTTTTAAAAAAACATCTGGCTCTTTAATCATTTCTGCTGCCTTTTTAATGTTTGGGTTAATATATTCTAAATCGTGGAACAGTTAACTTAGAAAGAAGTCTTAACATTTTCAAGAGGGATTCTTCCTAGCTGAAGGTGGAAATGGAATTCAGATTTAATTTTTTTTAAATATCCTCAATCTCAGGGCCAGAAAACCTGTGACTCATTAGATGTTGCTGAATTACAATTTCCAGTATTCTTAGGTATGGCTTATAGCCCAGACATCTGTGATTAGCAGCATTTATAGCAGTGTGTCTGCCTTAGCACCTTCAAGAGCTGTGGACTTCAGCTCCCTGAATTCTCCAATCTGTGCAATGTGTAACCAGAATTAATATTCTACCATTCTCCATTTGGCCCCTAAGCAGTTTCACAAGATTGAACTTGAAGAACATAGCATAAAATACAATAAACAGGTTAGGGCTTCAAAAACTATTCAGAACCAAGTATACAGTAAGAGTGACAAGAAGATATTTCTTTTACTTACGGGAGGTCCAGCCAAACCTGGGAAACCTGTACTGCCTGGAAAACCACGTTCTCCCTGGAAAAGACAGAAGGAAAATTTTCATTGAAGGCCTTCAATGGCCCAGTTTGAACGTTTGCAAAATAGTGAATGAATGTCACAATTTAAAAGCAAAATGGTTCCCTACATACGGATGGATGGAAGACTATGCTCTATAGTTATTACTAGTTGATAACTAGGTGTTGCGTTTGTATTTATTCAAAGGGGGGAAATGTCCAGACCAAATGTAATCTCTAATGTTGGATTTTCCCCCTTACCAGAGGGAGCCCCTTGTGGAGTACTGTGAA